CCCGCCGCTGTTGCCTGTCGCCGCCGTTCGCGAAGCATATTGGGATGACGTAGCATGCAGGCCGGGTGGGGGTTCTAGTCAGCCGCGTGACACAACACCACGTCCTTTGGCGAGCAACTTCAGGGCAGGCGCCAGCGCGCGAGCAGCCGCGGCTCTGTGCAGCTGCTCGCCGCGGCGGCGCTCAGCCGCTGCATTTCCTGTCGAACCCGCCCGCCCACCCGGGTTGATGGCGGCGTCGGTCTGGATGACGTCACGTATCAGGTGCCCCGTGATGGACTGCATCTCCCGCCCCAGTCCGCTGACGATGCCGGCGCTAAGGGTGTTGTCCAGTCCGAAGGGGTTGCCGATGGCAAACACCTGCGCGCGAAACGGTCGGCGGCCAGCGATTGTGGCCGGCGGTTGGCGCTCGTCGAGGCTGGCGCACTCAATGAAAGGTGTGCAGGCGGGCTTGCGGAAGGGGCGATTCCACAGGAAGGCAAAGCCGGCGGCATTGCAGATGGGGCAGGATGGAGGCCGGCAGGCGGTGCGGCGCGGGTCAGCCCTGAACCCTGAGCGCTGGCTTGCCTTTTGGCCGACCACAAGACGGTTGGACACGCCGACCTGCCGAAATAGAAGTGATTGCAAGTAAGCATTTACTAATCTTGGATTCAAAAAGGTTTGATCAAGCAGGCCTGGAGGCAGCGGGCTTCACTGCGTACAGCAAGCACCAAGCACGAGCTGAATCGCCACACGCTGAGGGCGTCAAAGGGAGGGGCGAATCGGGGCGCCGCACCTCGATCGGCGTGAGGTCGGACGATGGCGCGTCAATCTTCAGGACGGCCAGGTCTTTGTTGGGCTCCGCCCCCCGCAGCTGCGCCATGAACTTCTTGCCGTTGTGCAGCGTCACCTGGGCGGAGGGGCGGTGACGCCGGCCGCGGGTCACGCTGCGGGTGACGCCATGGGTGACGCCACGGGTGACGCCGCGCGTAACGGCGCGGGTGACGCCGAGGCGGCTGGTGATCCGGCTCACCCAGCAGGCCGGCGGTCGGCGCGCCCGCCCGTTGCAAGAACGGCCCTGGCTTTGCCTGCAGTGACATCGTATGTCAAGAGCAGCCCGTCCAAACCGTGCCCCTCAGCGGCCCCCTCCCTGCTGATGCAACCGACGCGCACCTGCGCCCGGCTGGCGCCGTGGATGACGTGGTAGTTGGTGACTAAGTGGCCGGCCGCATCCCAGACGAAGCCGGTGCCCATGCCGACCAGCGGCATGCGTTCAGGGTCGAGTGACAAAGCGCCGCCGCGGGGCTGGCCGATGGATGCAATGTGGACGACGCTGGGCTTGCATCTGGGCAGGGGGGCCCGGCGGGCGCGACCGTGCATGCGGTCGGGGTGCGGGTGAATGCCAAGGGCGGCTCAGCACTCCTTTGGGGGTTTGAATGGGGTGTAGGCGTACCGCTCGCCAGGGGTGGCGCAGGGGTGCTGAAGAAGGTGAGGGGATGACGGGGCAAGGGGGCAGGGCCTGGGAGGGTGGAGGCGCCCATTGGCCGTTGCCCGCTCACTAGATTGGCCAAAAGGGCGCGACCCAGTTGGGTGGGTGTTCGCACACCGGGCTTTTGCCCCCCCCCCCTGCCAACAGGACCCGTACCCTGGAGAAGCAGCGACCCAGCAATGCGATCAAATAGCACAATGACAGCGACGGCCCTATCACCAGGCCGTGCCGTCATGTGCCGCGGCCCGCTCGCTGTTGGCGCAACACACACGGCCGTTTTGCTGCGGGGAGGCGGGGGCGGGAGAGGTCACCCATGGAGTCGGGGGCGAGGAACCGCTGAGTCAGCGGTACGTCTATTTCGTCGTACCGCTCACCGCTGGAAGAGGCCCACCACGTACTGCTCATCCAGGTACAAATCCGCATGGGCGCCCGAATAATGTACGGCCTCGCGCTCCGCCGCGGCCGCCGCTGCAGCGGGCCCGAAAACCTCCGCCGCCGACGCAACGGCGGAAGGCTGCGCGGAGGCGAGCACGCGGGTGAGGCCCCGAGTCGCGTGCTGAGTACAAGCGGCGCGGACGCGGTGTGGCGGGGCGTGCGGGGTGGGGTCGTTGGTTTGTGCGAAAGGTGGCGCGTCACATTGGCGGCATGCAGGGCGAGGCTGGCAAGCGCCGCTAGCGCAGAGGCGGTGCAGGGTCTGGCCTTTGCTGTCCACCAGTTAGTTTATTGCAATGCCTTAGGCTGCAAGCTCAATGGCCGGCGTGATGCCTGCTGGAGATTGGCGGCAGCTGCGAGAGAACAGCGGCATTGGCGTGCCCTGGCCGCAACGGGCGGCGGCGCCGCTCGCCCAACGCATGTGGCGCGAGGCCCGCGCACCTGCGGGCCGCCCGGTGGGTCCTCGGCAGAGGCAGCGCCATCCCGTTGCGCCGCCACAGCAGCGTGCGCGTACTGCCGCCGCGTGCTGGCCGCTGGCGTGGCGGCAGTGGCAGCGGCGCTGCCGCTGCCTCGGAGGGCAGGTGCCGACATAGACGCCAGGTGGCTAAGGGCGCCTGCGCAACAAGCGGAAGGCGCAAGGGGTGCTGCGTGCCTCATCCGCGCCGCTGATAATGTACAGGGTGCCTGGGCGCAAGCAGGGCGGTTGGAGTGTTTGCCAAGCTTGTGTGATTGAGGCATGAACGGAGCGCAGGGAGTGCAAGTGCGCCTCCAGCGCCACCGCACCTATATGCACGACATGTGCCGCTCCCAAACGGCTCAGGGACGGCAACATGGTCAGCAGCGCCCTCAGAAGAACGGGACCGACTTTCTCCCGAGACCTTCGTCAGCTGGATGTGAAGATGGGGATCTGTGCACTTGGTATCGGGCTGTGACCAGTTTACTTCTCTACAAAAATTCAGGTTGAATTAGCGGCTGTATCGCGCTTACAAGTACATTTGCCCCCATTCTTGCATCTGGTGGCACTCACTTCAGAAGTGACTCGGCTGTTGCTTCACAAGAAGCGCCTCTTCATCAGCCCAGGTTTGACATCACCACCAACGTGCTCTTTGCGCTGCCCAGATCCTCCTGTCGAGGGCCTCACCGCATCCACGCAAGCCCGCAGCAGCGATCGCAGCTATGGCCCTCGCACGCAGCCACGTTGCGCCTGCTGTTTCAAACAGCCGTGCCTCAGGCGCTGCGAGGCGCGCCCTTGCTGCCGCCCGCCCGGCTCGCGTGCAGCGATCTCGGCTTGTCGCGCGTGCTGAGGCCGTCACAGCTGCTGGTGCGTGCATGCAGATTGCAAACAAACTCAAGTCACCAATTCTTGCTGGCCCTGGCCTGGTGGCACGCCCTGGGCGCGGCGCACCGAGCGTGATGCCGCGGTGCGGTGTCGCGCTCTGTGTGCGTTGGCTTGTGCGTGCCTGCCCCGCCGCGCCCCCTGCGGGATGGCTAGATGCACGTCAACCGCCCCTCCCACTGCACGCCCTCCTGCCCTAGCTATCGACGTGGACGACAAGAGCTGGGATGAGCTGGTGCTGAAGAGCAAGGTGCCCGTGCTGGTCGACTTCTGGTGCGTGCCAGATCACGAGTTTCGGATCCAACGCCGCCTCCCATGGCAGCCGCACCATCGGCGCCGCGCCGCACAGCCACACACACGAGGCAGCGCGCCTCGGCGACATGCGAGCGGCACGCACGCGGCCGGCCGCGCGGCACGGGCATGCGGCCTCATGGCAGACGCATGCGGCTTTCACGCTACACGCATGCGGCTCCTCACCGCCGGCTTTTCGCATGTTGTGGACTGCAGGGCCCCCTGGTGCGGCCCCTGCCGCATGATCGAGCCCATTGTTAACGAGCTCGCGGGTGACTACGCTGGGAAGATCCTCTGCGTGAGTCATGGCTCCATGACACCCGCCACATCCGACGCGACCCAAGGGGACTTTGCAGCCAGCATGCGCCTGGCGTCACTCCAAGACTGCCCGGGTTCTTTCCTCAGTGCAGTGCCGCGGCGCACGGCGGCGTTGCGCACACATGCGGGAGGGGGGGGGGACGGGTGACTGGGGATCTCGCCGCATCTTGCATGGCCGCAGCTGCCTGCGCCGCAGCAGCAGTCACCCGAAGCTCCCCGGCAGCCCCTCAGCCGCCCATGCGACGCTCCATGCACACCTTTTTAGGTCAAGGTGAACACCGATGAGTCGCCGAACACCGCCACCGGCTACGGCATCCGCAGCATCCCCACTGTTCTGGTGAGACGCAGGGGTGGGGATTGCGGGGGTCCCAAGAGCGCACGCGCGGGCGCAGCGCGGCCACATTCTCGTCCCCGCTGAACCTCGGGCAAGGGCGCCCGCCTGCGCCCGGCCAGCCGCGGGCCGCGGATGGGCGGCGCTGCCGCGGCGGCCGCGGCGGCTGGAGAGGGCAGCCCCAACGGCGCGGAGCCTCGGCCGGCGCCCTTGCAGTGGCGGCCCCATGGCGGCCGGCTGAGCGCGCTTCGCCATCCCCCAACCATCCACGCGTGCCACCCAGCCCCTGAGATGTGCATCCATCTTTAAAGCGCGTGAACTTGAGCCGCACCAACACAACAAGATACCTGTTTCGGCCCAAAACCCGCAGTTCTTCAAGAATGGGCAGAAGCTGGACACCATCATTGGTGCCGTGCCCAAGGCCACGTTGGTCCAGACCATCGAGAAGGTGAACAGGCAGCGCCCGATGGCAGGGGCCGGCGGGACCACCCTGCACCCTCCTTCCCGCGTGCTCAGGCCCCTGCTTGAAGGACATTGGGGGGAAAGGGGGTGGAGAGAGAGGTGCATCATGGTGTGCGAATGCAGAGCTGATCTGGTTGTGAAGGCGCCCCTGGCTGGGCCCCGCCGGGCGCCAGGCTTGCGCGGCACCGGCCCCAGCTGCACATCCGCGCCGCTGACGCCGCTCGCACACACGCACTTCCCGCCTCCGTCCCCACAGTACTTGTGAGCACCCGTCCCCGCGAGCGGCCGCGCCCGCCGGCACGCCGCCGCACCTGTTGGGCGGCGCGGGCGCCTCGCTGAGGCGTGCGCCCTGCGCTCGCGGCGATTGACCTGGCTAGCTTGGCGCCCTGAAGACACGTGCACAGCCTGTTGCTAGAGTTGGTCCCGGGTGCAGTCCTGCCAACTGGACGCTCGGCGCGTCGCCGCGAGCGGTTGTGGCGCTGGCCGGCGTGCCCCCGCCCCCCCGCCAGGGGTGGACGGGTGGCCCAGCTTGCTTCGTTTGATGTTGCTGTCGTCTCTTTGTAAGTTCTGTCGGTCGCGGCGAGCCTTTTGGTGGGAAGCGGCAGCATGATTTGTTTTTGCAGGGTCTACGCCTGATCTGTTTCCGGGTGGAGTTGGGGGCTACCCCGCATCGCATATTGGCGCCGGCCGCACCGCGCCGCGTCGCATCGCGCCGGCCCTCCCAGCACAGCCCACACGTGCCCCGCCGTGTAGCAAAACAGAGGCACAGCGGCGCACCTGGCAGCAGCGCGTGCAGCAGGGGCACGCCTTCCTAGCCAGCTGGCGGCAGCCGGAACACGGCCCCTGTTTGTGATGTGGTGACGGAGGTTGCCCTGCCAGCCTATGCCGCAGAGGAGTCTGCAGCGGCCAAAGGGCAAGGCACAAAAAGTGGGCGTGGGGCGGCGCAGGGCGGGGTGCCTTGGCTGGCGTTGCCCGATGGTGGTCAGTATGTGTCCGCGAGTGAGGACTGCTGTCGTCACATCGTGCCGCCCGACTGACATGATTCCACAAAAAGGGCTTGCTCTAGAGGCTCCGCCAAGGCGTGCGCACCACGGGAGGTGCTGCAGGGGGCAGCGCAGCTTTCCCTGGGGTGCAGCCAAGGGGTGAGCGCGCTCATGAGGGGCAACAACGGGGCAGGTTTGGCTAAAGACTGATGCGTGTCAGCAATGCCCGCGTGGGTGTGACCGTGACACGCATTTACTACGCTGAGGCGGCGCGGCTCGAGGCGGCGGCGCTGGCGCCCAGCACTGGGGCCCAATACCTGCTCCACGTGCAGTGGTGGTGGCGCTGGCTGCTCGTGTTTGGGCTGGAGGAGCACGGGCGGCCGCCCCCC